CTCACACCTGGATCACGGTCACCGCCGTCCCACCTGGTGCAGACTGCTGCAGGTGTTTCAGTCTCAATGACAAACAGCAGGAAGTTGACTCCATCGGTTCACGTTCTCTGGCGGCGAGGCAGGGGCCCCGGCGCCCCCTGGAGGTGACCCAGAGAGTTCAAGAGGCCCCGTTTACAGGAAGCAGAAACGTTGTCTGGGCCGTTGGTTGACACGTAAACGAAGCTACGAGTCACCGATCACGTCCGGCCACAGTGGAGATCTGGAAAAACTCCGTGTTTACGTTTGTACGTAGACAGGAGGAGGCGGAGTGTGATGTCATCAGTGTGCGACCATGTTGGGCTGCTGTGATAGAAGTCAGTATTTTAGTGTTTTCCTCGTTGTGTTCGCTAACATGTAGGAGCAGCGCCACCTCTCTGTCGGTCCAGACTAACCTGTTGTCGCTGAAGTAACAGGAAGTTTCCGTTGTTGTGTTTCTTCCAGGGTTCTGATTGGCTAGCATGGCTTCTGGTCACACTGCCCCCTACAGGTCTGACAGCTCATAGCAGCTCTTAACGATGTGTTTATGAGGGTTTGTGTGAATGAAGGTTGTTTCTAAAGCGATCTGGTGAGAACGATGTTATTTTTGAAATCGTAGATCCGTTTCCGTGGACACCAGCTTCGTGTGGGCGTGGCCTTAAAGGGACAGTAACACCGAATAAAACAGTCGTCACTCATAGCACTTTAATCTATAAGACCTTCAAATGAATGTAAATATGAGACAAAGATAATCCAAGTAAAGACAAAATGTAGTTTTTAAATGATGATTTAATGTTTTAAAGTGATCCTACTGGACCTGTGTGAAAATTATTATTATTTTATTGCACAATGAATTCACCTCTAAATACGACTGGATGAGTCCTTCTGAACATATACAACCAGCTGTAACGCTCAGTCTCTTATTTATGAAATGTTGTTCCTGCAAATAGGTTTTTCCACAAATTTCTTTATTTAAAAAAATGAATGTGGTTGTTTATTTATCTTTAGTTATTTATAGAAACATTTCTGTTGCTTTTCCTCAAACATCACGACTCTTAGCGCCGACAGTGATCAGAAACATCTGCACTTTGATTAAACTGACAGCTTTCCATTTTAAATCTTTTCTAAGACATTTTTAAACCTAAACTTGAACTAAATGGGTTTCTATCACCATCGAGCTCTGATCCGGACCTGAAACCCCGACAGGCTTCAACTGGACGGAAACGCTGCGACGGATTCACTCGGCCGGACTTTGTGTCGCCGCTTTGGCTTCTAAACGGAGTCTCAGCTCATATGTGTTGTTTATCAAATCACTGCCTTCAGCAGTGGGTTCCTGGAGCTCCATGCTGATGAACATCCATCACGTGGAGCTCAGACTGGACCCACACATCCATCTTCAGCAGCTTTCACAGGTTTTGCTCGTCTCGGAGGTCGTGTTTCTGCAGAGACCACCAATCTGCAGCATCTACTTTCTCCTGAAGTCCTGCTCCAGCGTTTCCTGCAGGAATCAGATTAGAGCCGCCTGATTGTAAACAGCAGCCAGAACATGTGAGAGGATTCAGAAGGCGGCGCCGCAGGACAGCAGCTCCAACTGCAGGTTCTGCTCGTCGGCCTTAATCAGGTTCAGGGTCCGTTTGTGTCGGAACACGATCAGTTTCAGCTGATCAGAGCGACGAGCTTCAGCAGAAGAAATAAAACATGGAGGACGTTTAACGTGTCGCTCTGCTCAACAGCTGTTTGTGGTTCAGACGTTCATCATCTTGTCCTTAATTTAATTCATCAGAGCTCACTGAGAGCCAATCAGAGCCTCCGCTGGCCTTAAAGAGACGTCACAGGTCGTTCTTCTGAAGCTGGAGACCAACATCTAGTCTCAGCTTCACATGAGTTTCACACAGAGACACAAAGTGAAACTAAAAACACACAAAGTGCCAGAAAAAGCAGAACTACATGAACATGAAATCCCCACAAAGAGACAAAAACGCTCCAAAATGACATCCAGCATGAGCAGAAGCTGATTAAAGCTGAAGCTGTGCAGCTGAACGTGTTCTTGTGCTTTAATAAGCTCCTGGTCCATCGTTAGCGGTGCTATTTAGCCGACCGTCGTGAAGCTCGGCGCTGCAGATGATTTACTGACGGACCTTAATGGAAACCAGCGAGCAGAAAGTCCAGCCGATGGAGGACCTGCAGCAGGAACACGAGGAGCTAAACCGGGACGAGCTGCTCGGGTCGGCCTCTGGAGGTTCTGATTCCTCCGTCTGGTGGACGACGAGCGCTAAACAGAGACGTGGAGAGTTTGTCTCCCGATGGAGGAAGATGGCGCCGAGCTGAGTGGGAGGAGGTGACGAGGTGAACGATTCATTCAGCAGATTAAAATTCATGTCTGCAGGACGGCTGCGGTCTGAAGCTCTTTATGCAGCTTTTAATTTTAGTGGCGGCTGATGATGAGCCGGTCTTTGTTCAGTCGGACCGGCTGCTTGTGTTTATTCTGTCTGACGCTCAGAAAGAGTTTTAAATCAACCTGAGGTTCTGCAAGAGACGAACAAGAACCTTCATCCAGCTCAGTGACGGTCTGAAGCAGCTTCTCTATGTCGTCTCATTACGTTTTCATTTATCTGTACATTCATGTCACGTATGTTGTTTTTCATTCCTGAACACTTCGATTAGATTTTATTTAGTTTAGTTTTTACACGTTTTACATGTATTTATATTTTACATAATTTCTATTTAATCCTGTTTATAATTTAGAACTGATTTGTTTTCAGATTGTATCTGTTCAATATAATTCATTTAGTTTTATTACTTTTAAATCAACATTTTTATGTCATTAAGTTCAAAGTATTTCTGTGTTAAGTATTTAATTTTCTATTTGTTTTAGTGTATTTATATTTATTTTATTTATTTGATGTCATTTGTTGTTTTTTATGATTCCTCCGTTTATTAATAATCTAAACAAACTTTTTATTGTCATTTTTTTCAGTGTAATCAAATCATAGAATTATATTTTAGAATTTATTTACATGTTTAAATCGTCATTTTGTTGACTTTAGGTTTAATTCTTTTAGATTTTTATGGGATTTAGTTTTATATTTTATATTTATATAAAATATGAAACGTTGTCATTTTTGTTCATACGTGTTTATATTTTACACGTTTTTATGTCATCGAGTGTCTTTAAATCTGTTTGTTTAATGAATCTTTATTTGTAACATTGTCTCTGTTTTCTTTATTAAATGTTTTTATGTTTGTTTGTTTGTGATCGCGGTGTCTCGTAAACAAACTGGTCTGATAGCAGCTGCTGCAGATACAAACGATGAGGTTTCTGCAGATCATCTTCCTGATCGATCGCTGCAGTTATCAATGAAGCTCTGAGCGGCGCCGCTCCGACGGGTTCTGATTAAAAGGCCGTTAGAAGCTCATTAGGATCCGATTCGGTCCTTCGGTCGCTTTGTTAGTTTCAGCCGTAAAGATTCTGCAGCTTCGACTCGCTCAGCTCTGGAACCTGAAGTCTGTCAGAGGCTGAGAGCAACGTTTGCCTGACGTTTGTCTGACGTTTGTCTATGAAACCAACCGACACCGTTCGTCTGTAAAAAGCTGAACTGAGCAGATTGTGTTTGTGTCCAGATCTCAGTCATCAGAACCGGGCCTCCAATCAGCAGCAGAACATGTAAAAGAAGTGAACCAGTGATCAGACACCTGTAGCCTCGGGCCGTTGCTACGGTTACTGTTCTTATGGGATGGAGGCCGACGGACCTCGGTGGGATCACACGAACCGGACTTCTCTGATCAGAAACATCAGCTGCTGCAGAGAACGACGCTGAATGAAAACCAGTCTGTCCAGTAACAACTCCACCAGTTCTCAGCAAACACAGAACCTCCACCAGAACCTCCACCAGAACCTCCACCAGAACCTCCACCAGAACCTCGGATGGATAGAACGCAGCAGTGAAACGTCTACAAA